TATTTCAATTATTATTATTTTTATTTTATTTATTACCAAAATTAAAAATAATAATAATGCTTATTTTGTTGACATTAAAATTGAACTGTATCTCATGGATAATATAAAAATAACATTCTTTAAAATAAGATCAGTACTAAACTATAACTTAAATAACTTGACCATAAAATAAAATTTTGATTAACACAAACATTTTTTTTTAAGCAGTTTAAAAAATAAATGAGGAGATTCCGAAGGTGGGAAGAGCATCATAGCTCACAAAAAATTCTAAAGAATTTTTCTTACTTGAGTTAATAATATATAAAGAGATTTGCGGAATATTCTAAAAAGGAAAACATAAAACACTGAAGAGACATAACGATTTGTAAAAGTCGAAGGTATTATATAGAGCATTGTAGAGTATAATTTAGATTTTCTTATAAGAATCACCTAATGGATATTCTAAAACTCTGCTTTGTTAAATAACTAACATTGAATATAATTTCAATCTTTCATACCATATCGAGATCTTAATATAAATGGTTAAGAAGACACATTCTCGAGTATATCAATATCTAAATCAGTTAGTCTTAAAGCTAGCTCAATATCTTTTAACCGATTCATAATCAAAACTTTAATGGAGTAAATTTGATTTTCATAAAAATATCTCCCTTCATTGCTTTCAATTCAATATAATATCATTCAATTATATATAGACAATAATAATCTCATAATCACAATTAATATTCTCAAATATTTAAAATATATCACTCTTAAACTGAATATATAAAAAGCATGTTCAGAACCCCAACTTTCAATTATACATAGGCAATTAGTATAATCTCACAAGAATATGCTGTGAATAAACTTTAGCAATATTCTCAGATGTGCCAGAATGTATCACTATATAAACACCTTTGGGTTGAATATATAGAATACAATCAACATCTTTAAACTTTAATATAATCTTAATTAATTATACATGGGCAATAATTATAATCTCACAACAATGGGCTGCAAATAAACTTTAACAATCTTGTTAGATGTTTCAGAATGTATCATCATATAAATACCTTTGGGCTAAATATATAAGACACATTCTAACACCTATAAACAAGTCAACTAGAAAGAATGATTTATCAAGAAATTATCTCCTTTGGGTATATAAATTCTTTCAAAAACAATAAAATTTCCCTTACTAGCGGCTCACACTACCTCTAAAATTAATACACTCAATTAACCCCCTTTGGGTAGGTAATTGAGTGATATAATATTAGAAGAGCTTCCCATAATCCTTATTGGTAAATCACTTTAAATCTCAATAAGTTAACCACTTCAACAGTATCACCCATATTGATTCAAAAATCTTCCAACTGAGACTACAAAATAAATATTTGTCCACCTTTAAAACTTTATTTATTTATTAACAATAATGCAATCTGTAACCCATCAAAGCATATATAATATCATATTACGAATCACTACTAAACAGTTACTCAAAAATAATAGCTCATGGCCAACCAAAATTCGTATATGAATTTACAAAAAATACACCAAAGTGATATACATGATATAGAACTCTTAAACAGTCTTAATGTTTATGTAAAAGTCATAAAAACAAATATGTTTCATATCTTTTGCAAATATTTGATTAGGTGAGATTTGAAATATATATATATCAATATAGATTCAATATACAGACATCCATACTTTACAATTGTCATAAAACTACCAGATCCAAATTACTATTTTTTTTTTTATTTTATAAAACATAATTGGAACCAAACTATCAATACTCAAACAGTATGTATTTATTACATTGAAAAAGTTTTCTTGAAATTACTAAAGCACGATTTTGAGATGCAAAAGCATCATTCAGTAAAAAGAAATATTAATTCATTCCTTATCATTATATAAAATAATTTTACTGAAATAATCTGCCATAATTTTGATTCTAGTATAAACTTGCTCTGATACCACATGTAAGATTTTAGGATTTATATACTAGAAATCAAAACAATATGAATATAAGTAACTACTAAAATATAAACTCAGATACATACCATTTGATTCCGTTATTGTCTTGAGTTTTGCTTCCTTGAAAGAATATGGCATTCACAATTGAAAAACCTTAGCTCCAGCTCTTCCCCTCCTTCTCCTAATCTTTATGTTGTCTTTCAATGGGGCTGACAACCTTTTGATCTACGTATATATAGATATATGTAAACCCTAATAAGGATAGGAGAGGGGACTGGGCCTAAATAAAACAATTACTGGGCCCTCCCATTAAGGAACCCAAATAACTTAAAACAGGCCTTACACCTCCATATCACATATCCACATATAAAATAATATATACACTAAGATGACCATGGCCCAAACTTTATGGATCACAATAATAATTTTGGGCTCATACCAGTCAATCTATCTGAATCACGTTCAACCCGTTTTTCACAAACCAAACAAAATATAGTCAATGACAGCCTAATTAAGAATAAATTCTTACATACTCATCATAAAAATTTAGAACTTCATAATCGTATGGTTCGCAACTACACTTGAGGGTGGGCATGGTATGGAGGGGGGCATTTCTCAATTTTTTTTTATCGGCAAAAGTCTATTATTAGTTGTTAGATTAATATATATGGAAATTAGTCTTCCCACCTTTATAAAGCACCAAGTATTTGCCTCTTAATTCAACTCTCCCTTAAGTGGGTTAAATCCATAACCTTCCCATTGGGACTAAGCCTTTAAAAGAGTTACAGTGATCAACTAGACCAATCCTAGTTCGTTAGCCATTTCCTGGTTAGAAAAAACTATATACTTCCAAGAATATGTTATTATTCATAACATGTTCACAAAATATTACTTTCAAACTAGTCAAACATCGATCAATATATCATTACATTTCAAATAAAAAAATTTAGAACTAATTATACCACTATTCTATAAAAGAGCACGATGCATGAAGTAACAAATTACATATTTATGTATATATCTAAATAGATTGGCCAGTTTTAAATCACAATTATAACTATAAAATCATAGATAAATCATAAAACATGATTCACATATTTTGAAAGCTAGAACCGAACTGTATATTGAGAAAATTAAATAAAATCGTATAATTTAATATGAATTGAAACAATTTATGATTTTTCGGATTTTCTTGCTAACCCGAACTACACCAAAATAGTTCTTAAGTAACACCACAAGAAATTAGATTGAAGCAATTGGAACATAGCAAAAATTCTTGGAAGAAAAGAATGGAACAGAGGATCGGAGCTGGTGGATGGCAACTAGTTTTGTATGGGAAAAGAAGACAAGATTAGAGGGCTAGAGTCAGAAGAATAGAAAGGGTGTCATTACGGTGTTTATGGATAATCTTCCATGGTCAATGAATCCAATAGGTTTGTTCCTCTTATTTTCCAAGTTCGGGGTAGTTCAAGATGTATTTATCCCAAACAAGACCAGGAAGTCTACAAGATCAAGGTTTGGGTTTGTTAGATATGATTGTCCAGTGGCAGCTAAAGTAGCAATCCAAAAAACTAATGGTCTATGGTGCGACGACAAGGAATTTCATCTGAAGAAAGTAGCCTTTGAGAAGGTAAGAAGTACTATGAAGGTAGGGGTGGAACCAAAAAAAGTGGTTACTAATAGTGATAAACCGAGTGGTTATGTAGAAAGAAATGATGGCGAGGCAGATAAGGAGATAATGGATCACCGATCATACGCAGAAGCCTTGGTTCATGGAAACAAACAAGGGAATACAGGACATGTCATCTTGGGAGTGGAATCAGGAAACAGATGGTTGTATGATAGTGTTATCGTCCAATTGAAAAGTTATTATGCGTTCTCTGACTTTCGTGCTAGTGTCCTTCAAATTGGTTCCAAGGATGTTGTAGTCAGAAAAGGAGGGGGAAAGATGGTCGTAGTGTTGTTTTCGTCGGCAAAGGACATGAAGTCTCAACTGGTCCTCTTGGAAGATTGCCTAAAAGAATGGTGTGTGTCAGTAACAAAGTGGAGGATGGGGGTATATTTAGCTCCAAAAAAGGGCTGTGTGGCATTGTTGTTATGGGGTGCCTCTGAATATATAGAGCAATGATACATTTATGAAGATAGGCCAGTTGTAAGGAGAAATAATTCAAATGGATGATGATACATCTAACCATGTGTCCTTTCATTGCGAAAGGATAAAAGTAGCAACAAGCGTAATGTATTCCATTAACAAAGCAATTCACATCAAATGTAATGATATGATGTATCCAGTTAGAGTGTGCAAAGAGTAGGTGATGGTCACGAAAGTAATGGGTGAACCATGTAAGGATAAGTCATCTCAAATGAAGAAAGATCTATGCAGCGCTATCAGAATGGCCAGCCATGATGCTGGGTATGGAAAGCACTCGAACAATGAGGATGCTGAGGTGGATGATTCAGTACAAAATGAGTTGGACACTTACATTGATGTGGCAAGATCAACCAGGGAAGAGTTGGCAGTCAATGCACCTGTGATGGAGGAGTTGATCTTTAATGATTTTTCTACATCGGTAGCGGAAGAGTTGGTGGACGTTGCTTCAGGAAGGCGAGAAATAGTTAAAGCAGGCGTAGGAGTAACTTCTGGAGTTTTGTTTACTGCTCAAAGTCATAATGAAAGAAGTGGAAATGAGGACGGGAATGGACATGTTAATGGGTATATGAGAAGTTTGAGTGGAAATGGTCTAGATAAATGTGGTATATCACTGGAAGTGGACTTGGGTGAAGCCCACTATGGTGGGTTACCATTGGGCCCATTGTCAATGGAAATCTTTTAAGAGGTGTGGGCTTAGATAAGATGGGGTCTCAGGCCCATGGAAATAGGTAAACACCATCACCAATGCCTTACATTGTTGTCCAAATAAACACAAGCACGAAAAAGGTAAGGTGACGCAGAGGACAAAGTTGATAAGGAGGAAGGGGACTTCAAGTACTAGAAAAAATTCGATGGAAATTCAGAGGAAGATAGTGGAGGTAGACGGGAGAGGATGGGAGGAGCAGTGGTTATGGGAAGCTGGAGCAAAGGTGTTGCACTTAGGGAAAAATTGGAGCTATCAGCAAGACTTGTGCCACAAGGGTCGGTAGCAAAATTAGGTTCAAAGGGGAGCACTTTGAGTGTCAACAAGATATTGCAAGATGAGGTTGAGGCAACAATTCACATGGACAAAGCTCTAGGCATCTGTTTCGAAGGTAAGGAAAATGAGGTAATTATCAAATTAAAAGATATAAAAGTCAAAGATAAAGATGGGGCAGCACCTACGGTTGCAGAAGCACAAAGTTGAGGTGCTTGAATTAGGAGGAACAAGGCGTTAAGTATTATGTTTTAATGAAGTTATTATCATGGAATGTAAGGGGTTTGGGCAAAGCCGAAAAGAGAAGGAAGGTCAGGGGGATAATTACAGACAGGAAAATTGAGTTTGTCTGCTTCCAAGAGACAAAGAGGTTTGATGTTTCATCATTATTTGTACAATCTTTATGGCCGAATGAGGATATGAAGTATATGGTAGTTGATTCTGTAGGAAGGGCAGGAGGATTGTTGTGCATTTAGAAGTCGTCAATGTTACAGCTTTCTCAATGCTACAGCACAAGGCACTGTATTATACTCTCAAGGACATTTTTGCCTAATTTTAAATGCGTACTAGTTAATATCCATGCACCAAATGAGGTAAATGAGAAGGGTACATTTTGGAGTGTATTACACAGTTTGAAATCAGTGTTTAGTGATCCCTGGTGTTTAGCTGGTGACTTCAATAAAATTAGGAATATTAGAGAAAGAATGGGATGTTCTAAAAGAGACAAAGGGATGAAGAAGTTCAATCATTTCATTGAAAATTTAGAGCTTATTGACTTACTTATGATGGGTAGGTAATTCACTTGGTGCAATGCTAATGAATGGGAATGATGGAGCAGGATTGATAGAGTATTGTTGTCAACTGAGTGGCTAGAAAGGGTTAATTTAAAATTATGGGGTCTGGAGAGAAGTGTGTATGATCATTGTCCACTGTTACTGTTAGAGGGTGGGAGGGATTGGGGTCCAAGGCCGTTTCACTTCTTAAATGCTTGGACCCTCCATCCTAAATTCGGGAGTCTTGTGAAGAATCTTGGGAGAAGTCTGCATTTTCTGGATGGGGGCAGGTTTTGTTATAATGAATAAACTCAAGGTGCTTCGTATAGATCTAAAGAAATGGAACGGAGAGGTTTTTGGAATGTTACTTCTGTATTGAAGTTAGCAGATAAGGAGCTTTATGCCATTGATTTAGTGGCTAAATCGAGAAGTCTTAAGGAGAATGAGATTCGAAGAAGAAGCGAAGTGAGAAAAGAAGTGTGGACCCTATCTCGGTGAGAAGAATGGATGTGCAAACAAAAGTCTAGGCTGAATTGGAACCTCTAAAGGGACAAAAACACAAGATTTTTTTCATATTGTTGCTATAAGTAGACAGAACAATAATTTGCTGAACTTAATTGAAGTAGATGGGGTGATGCATGAAGACCTATGTAGGGTTAAGCAGGAGGTATTTAACTACTTCAAAAGAAATTTTCTAAAGAGTGGAAATCCAGGCCCAAGCTTAAAGGTCTTTTCAAAACCATTGGGCATGATAAAGTTTCAAATGGGTTAGTGGCCCCATTCTCCGAGGAGGAAATAAGGAGGGCTATAAAGGAGAGTGATGGCAACAAGGCTCCAGGACCGAATGGGTTCAACATGGCTTGCTTTTAGAAGTGCTGGAAGGTGTTTAAAAGCGATATCCTGTAGTTCTTTAAGGAAATCTATGATAATGGGTGTCTAGCCAAAGCTATTAATAGCTTTTTTATAACATTAATTCCTAAGAAAGATTGTTCGGAGGGTATCTTAGACTATAGGCCAATGAGCCTTATTGGTTCAATTTATAAGATGTTATCTAAGGTCTTAGCATCAAGATTCAAAAAGGTGTTACCAAGGATAGTTGGGGAATCCCAAACTGCATTTGTTGGTGGACAGAACATTTTGGATGGGGTGTTAATCTCAAATGAAATTGTGGATTGGTGGAAGAAGAAAAAGCAAAAGGGGTTCATTTTGAAACTGGATTTTGAAAAATCTTACGACTCGGTCAATTGGGAGTGTCTGTTTGCCATGATGTCTAGTTTTGGTTTTCAAAACAAATGGACCAGGTGGATAAAGGAACGTGTGCAATCATCTAGAGTTTCAATCCTTGTGAATGGCTGAGTTTTGTCTAGAAAAAGGACTCAGACAAGGGGATCCATTATTGTCGTTTCTCTTTATCATTGTGGCTGAAGGTCTTAATATGTTATTCCAAAGGGCAAAAGAGGTTGGGCTAATCAAAGGAGTGGTTATAGGTACTAGAAGGATTAGTGTCACCCATCTACAATTCGCAGATAATACTATTGTGTTCTGTGAGGCTGGTGAGCATGAAATCTTGAATGTCAAAAGAATTTTGAGATGTTTCGAAGTGTTGCCTGGATTAAGGATTAACTTCCATAAGAGTGAGGTTTGTGGAGTGGGAGTGTAGGAGGGGGTGGTGGATAATTTCGCTGAGAAATTGAACTGTCAAGGTCAAAGCTATCTTTTACATATCTTGGGTTACCACTGGGGGCCAGCCCAAAAAAAAAGCTCACATGGTTGCCAGTGATCAATAAATTCAAGTCTAAGTTAGCTTCTTCTTTTGAGGGAAGGTTAACTATGATCAAGTCGGTGTTAACTTCATTGCCAGTGTATTACTTATCTTTATTTAAAGTACCCATGGATGTAGCTAAGTTGCTTGATAAAATCCAAGCCAGATTCTTGTGGGGTTATCTTGAAACTAAAAAGAAGCTTCACATGGTGAGGTGGGAGGAGATTACTAAAAAGAAAAGGTGTGAAGGTTTGGGTATTAGAAGGCTAAGGGATGTTAATGAGTGTCTCCTAGCAAAATGGTTGTAGAGATATGGTGGTGATGATCAAGCATTGTGGAAATAGGTTGTGACTAGTAAGTACAACAATTCTGGTGGGAGATGGAGACGTTTTTTGGTGGATGGAATTCAGTGCTCAAGAATATGGGGTGATATTCTTAGTCTTGAATGCAGCAGTCCAAATTTATTTAACTTTTTCATGAAGAATTATGTCATCAAAGTTGAGAATGGGAGGAGAATTAGTTTTTGGGAGGATTATTGGTCATCTAATTGCAGCTTCAGGGATGAGTTTCCCAGGCTATTTGAGCTGTCCGATGACAAAGACGCCAATCTTAAACAGATGATTGATAGGAGAAACAGTTCAGATGGGTGGATTTTTAGGTTTAGAAGAGGTCTAAGGGCTTGGGACTAAGTTGAGATGGGAAGACTTAGAGTATTCTTGTCTACACATGAGCCAATGTTATCAGAAAGAGTTGACTCCTTAGTTTGGAAAGCCTCATCTTCAGGTGCGTTCACTATAAAATCATTGTATAGTAGCTATGATGCAGCACAAGGGTTGGAGAATGCTAGGTGGATTTGGCAGAATTTCTCTCCACCAAAAGTGCAATTTTTCATATGGCTCGCTTAGAAGGGTGGAATCAAATCAAGAGCTTTTCTTCAATGTGTAAGGTGCCTCAGTCAAGACTTTTCAACAGAGTGTGTGTTTTGTGGGTGTGATGTTGAAACAGATTGTCATGTGTTGCTACAGTGCATGTGTTCTTGGAAAATTTGGTCAAACATTCTGTCCTGGTGGGGAATGCAGTAAGTGAGTCCTAAGAATGCTAGAGGTGTGATGGAGTAGTGGAAAGGGTTCATATGGGGTAAGCTTGAAACCAAAATTTGGAATGTAATTCCATTTGTGGTGTTATGGTCAATTTGGACTCTGAGGAATGATTGTGTTTTCAATGGAAAACGACACTACCTGGTGGAAGTTTGCGAACTGATCAAAACTAGAATTTCCCTGTGGATAAAATCTAATACTAGTCTGTTGAATTACTCTGTTCATGATGTGGTTAAGAATCTGCAGCAAGTGCGTAGGTGTTTGGGGAGTAGGGGCGTGTAACCTTGCTATGGTCTGTCTTTGACTTTGAATCTGATGCAGTATGCGCCTGTTGTATACTGATATGGTAGTTTTGGTTGGTCTAGCTTAGGGTAGCAGTAAGGTTTTGCTGTTTTTCTTTTTCTTTTATTTTAGTATTGGTTCCTTACCAACTCAATGGCTGTGCCTGCTCATGGTCAAGCTTTTCCTCGGTGCCAACCTAGTTGAAATTAGGGTAGTTTGCTGTGTTACTGTTGCACCTCCCTTCTTTATTGATGTAATTTTGCTTGTTATGTCATCAATAAAGTCTTTTTTTGCTGATCAAAAAAAAAAAAAAAAAAACAGGTAACACCACAAAATTTGTAACTTTTCATTGCATGACATAGTTGATAAAAACCCTTTGTAAAGTTAGGTTGTTCATATATAAGAGTTTTAGAGATCAAATATTTTAGTCTCTAAAAATGAAATTTTTGTTGTAAAAGACATTTGAGGACCAATTTCCATTGTCAAGAGGATAGTCGCTAAAAGGTCATCCCGAAATGTCAAAAATAAGGCTTTTAGCAACAAAATTAAAAAAATGTCACTAATAAATACACTTTTAGGGACAAAATAATTTGATCTCAAAACGGTTTATTTTTTGAGACAAATTTGGTCTCAAAAGGATAATAATTCATCACTAATGTCTAATCTTTGTTGCTAAAAATATAATAACGACACTTTTCGCAACAAAGCTATTTGGTCCATAAAAAATAATTTTGTCTCTAAATTTTGGTCTCTAAAATCTTAATTTTTTTGTAGTACTTCTTCATATTTATTACTGTTTCATTAGAAAGAACAAACAAAGAAAATTAGGACAATTACAAAAGAATTTCAGTGTTTGAGTATTGTAATAAAATAAATTATAAATTTTTAATTTTGTTAATTTAAATCTCAATTTTTTAATTTATTTTTAATCTAAATCATTTACTTATTTTTGTTAAGTAAAACCAACAGAAAAATGTATATTTTAGTCATTAAACTTAATGTAAGCTTACATAAAATGTCTAAAATACTATTTTTTTATTGAATTTAATAACTAAAATATCATTTTTTCCCCCCGTAGATTTTACTAACAAAAATAGGCAAATAGTTTAAATTGAAAACAAATCAAAATCTTAGGATTTAAATTAATAAAATTAAAAACTTAGGGTTTAATTTGGTATAAGGGCAAACTATAGATTTTTTTTATTTTTTTTAAAAAATAATTTCCCCCCAAAAAATTATAAAGTTATATTTAGATCATAAATCTGATTGTGTATGTAAGGGTTCGAGAACATCACCGGAAAAGTCAAAGACTATCGAAAAAGTCATCAAAATCTTCGAAGGCTTGCCATAAAATTTGAATGTCACCGGAAACTTCGAATCTCCTAGAACTAAGTGGTGAAGCTAAGATTCTTCAATGGTCACAACTAATGGAAACCCACATAGAGAAAAGATGATGGGAAGAAGAGGTTGGATGAAGAACAAGGTAAAGAAGCTAGAGAGAGATAATCCTAGCAAGCTCCCATAGATCCCACTTTCACTCTTAAGGAAAGAAGATAAGAACTCCCAAAGGCTCTCTCTCTCTCTCTCTTCTCCTCCTCCCAAATTTCTCTTCCTTAAAGCTATGGGGAGTGCTCTATGTATAGACAACTCAAATGGTGGAGTCCCATATGCAAGGCACATGGGAGAATATTTTCTCTAGCTACTTTGTCCGAGGAGATGACTTCTTCGAGGATGAGAAAAATCTCGAATATGAGGTTAACCCATGGGCGAACCCCTCTTTTTAGCCATATCAAACCAATGCTCCCCAACCATCCCAAAAGGTCGAGGTAGTCCTAGAGAAACCCCCACTGCTAATATGATCTAGTCTCATGGACCTCCGAGGTCGTATAGGCTAAATTGACCGGTGAGTGAATTTATCTCCACCCACCGTCCTTGTGATTCAAACCCTTTGTTCGGGCTCTAACCTCACTCATGTTTCTCGTGGGTTGATCCCGGAATACTTCAAGCTTGCAAATGTTCTAGGATTTATGAAATAAGCAGCTTCTAGACTGCGATCGAATCCGTTCAAAGCCTGAATGCCTCGGATCGAATCCGTTCAAAGTCTCTCATTATCTTGATCCATTCAAAACCATCTTGATTTAATTGTATCCACTGAACCCATCCATGAACAAGAACTTTTGGTGTCCTGACGTGGAATCCACGAGAGTGTCGATATGATGCAGAGGAAATTCATCCTTCGGGCAAGACTTGTTCAAGTTTTGAAAGTCTACACACACCCTGATTTTATCGTTTTTCTTCGTTACCGGCACAATATTTGTCAACCACATAGCCTACTATATTGATCGGATAAAACCTGCCTATTAGAGTTTTTGATTTCTTTCTCGATTTTCTCTTCAAGGTCTATATTATATTTTCGAACAACTTGCTTGATTCATTTAGAGTTTGGAAACACATCAAGATAATAGAAGACTAGGCCAAGGTCTAGTCTAGGCATTTCGTTATGGGACCAAGCAAACACATCCGAGTATCGACTTATCAGCTTTACTAATTGCTCTATTTTTTCGAGCTAAGGCTTGAACTTATAAATATCGGCCTTGGAGCATCTTGCCCATCGCTTAGATCTACCTTAACAAGTTATTCGAGCTAAGGCTTCAACACATCCTACATGCATTCCGGAGCCACTTCAAGCTTTACTACTATGTCCTCATCAAGAGGTTCTTCCTTTGACTCAAATTCAGTTGCTAAAGAGATCGACTATCGCACCTTCATAAATAATACACCATCTTGCCTCATTTTTGAACCGTCATCACCTTTTAAGGAACATAAGGACTTTTAGGTCAGGATATCACTCACTTACTTGATTCTACTTTTGGCTCCTTATCATCTTTGATATCCTCCCAACGAGGAATTTTGACCCCCTGAGGCTTAGAGGTGGTAGGCTTTCATTTGATAGACAATTTCGTGAAGTAGACTGCACCTAACTTGTCACCGTCTTCTTTTCCTTATTTAGCCTTAACACACTAATGATAACTTGACGGTACAACCCTATATCTATGCATCCAGGTCCTCCCTAGAATGATGGGACAAATTGGATAATGTGAAACTTGGTGGCTGAGCAAATCTCTCCAACAGCTAGATCAACTGTTACATATCCTATAGTAACTTTTCTTTCTCTCCCGAAGCCAATGATGACTATCGGTTGCCTCACAATGCCGCCTTAAAAAATCCCAGCCTTTTCTAAAGTTGTCCAAGTGATAATGTTGATAGAGGCTCCACTGTCTAGAAAGACCCTTTTGAACTCAATATCGTTGATATAGACAGCCACATAGAGCGATCGGTTGTGAGAAAAAGGATACTTCTGGTCAACCTTAGAGAAAGTAATGGCACTAGATTGCTCTCTTTTCTTCCTTGGGATAGATTTCTCAATTGACATGCATTTTTCATAGTGTACCTCGGCGATGTTAATAATGGCCTTGATGATTTCCTTCCTTGCCTCCCTGGAAAGTCGAAGTTGGTCGAAGAATTGCTTGAACTTTACACAGTCTTGCAAGGTCTTTTGCACAGTGATCTGGGTCTTTTTCTACCCTCAGAGGCTCATAATTAATTTATCTCATTGGTTTCTTCAAAATAGAATGACATGCAAACGTGGTATCTGCCTCCGTAGTATTCTTCTCCTCCTTCTAGATCGAAGAGACCTTCAATATAAGCCGTAAAGACTCTGCCCTCTGGATCGAGAACACCTCCATAATAAACTTGCTTACCCTCAGGCTCGATGGTGTCGTCAAGATAGCAATCATCATCGTCAAGATTGGTGATAGCTTCAATCATTGGGCCTTCATATGCTATCATAGCAACATTCTTGCCATTGTCTCAATGCTGAGGATATGGTTGCTCTCGTATGCCTTGAGTTCCTTGCTTTTTGAACCTCAATTCATCCATCTTGACTTTTTTTTTGAAAATTTTCCTAAGAATCCAACACTTCTCTGTTGGATGCTTCAATGTGCTATGATAGACGCAATAGTCGAGGCTCTCAAATCTTTCTTTGATAAGACTTCCTCGACATAAGGTAATTTTAGCTCTCTGTCGACCACCCATTCTTTGACTAGAGATTTTATCTCCTCGATTCTATACGGATAAGAAACATTGTTTTTCTTACCTCTATATTGCTTCCTCTTTTGGCCTCTATGTCCCTTTCCTTGTGACTTCTGAATATTAGACGTCACTGTAATGATAGGTCCCTGAGATAATTTGAAGCTAAATTTGTAACTAGCCTTAAATATGGTCTCCTAAGCCTGAGGTAAGCTAATATT